GCGAAAGCTCAATGAAGACATCGTGAAACCGGCCTTCTCCGACTGCAACTAGTGGTGATATATTGACTTTCGCTCGGTCATATATCAAAGTAGGAACACAGCCGCATTGCAACCTTGGAAGTGAAGGTTGCCAAATGTGATGTGCGTGTGCGATGTGCGTCCCGGCGGATGTCGCGCATACGCGCACGGCGCGTCGCACTAGAGCGGATCTGGACTTGCCGGATCGCTGATCTCCGAAAGCATCTATGTAGCCATCCACTCACAACTCTACAACTGCACCTCAACCAATAATGAGTGGCGATACAAGATTGAAAATGAAGCGGAGAGGCGGCCCGCGCAGTAGAACAGGTATGTGCCGTGATCTATGAAACTCTGCTGCGATGCTGAGATAAGCTAATGCCATCAAGGCTGGTACGTCTGGCTGCTATTTTCATCGCGAAAACCTGTACTTCTGGCTGACTGAGTCGCTCCAGCGCCACCTGCAAACGCCGTCACACCCGCTGCGATGAGAAAAGGCCAGTATGCGGGAATTGCGAGCGTCTCAACCTCGACTGCGAGCTATCCGAGGAGATCGTATGGGCTACTCCTCGTGTCGATACAACACCGGACGAACCAAACAATGATGCGCCGCTTCTCGTTGACGTGTTTAGGACACGAATGAATGATCTTGATCTTCCTGAAAACTCTTTGTCAAATCAGAACTACATACCTGCTAATGGAGTCACGACAGCAGGTTCCGACGAAGCGAACGGTCCGAAGAAGGTACGCTTGACACCAGAAAGCGCCTTTTTACTCCAGACCTATGTACGCACCGTCGCAACATGGATGGATATCTTTGATCATGCCAGCACCTTTCAGCACAAAATCCCACAGCTGGTCCTCAGATCGCCGCTTCTGTTTCACTGTGTATGCGCCTTTACCGCCAACTATCTTGCCCTTTCCAATTCGAGCCATGATCCTTCTTGGCAAGTCACAGCTTCCAAGCATTATGGCGAATCGTTGCGCCTACTCATAGAAGCTTTGAGCATGCCTTCGCACGAACATGCGCTTACCGCAAGTATGCTGCTCTTGAGCTACGAAATCCACGGAGCTTTGCGCTCTGAAGACTATCGGCGACACTTCCTAGGCCTTACAGTACTAATCAAATCACGACATGTTACTGCACAGTCAAGCGGCACTGATCTGGCCAACTTCTGGATCTATATCCGACACGAGATCGTTGTAGCTATGGCTAGCGAGCAGCCTCTGGTACTAGACCCTGCAGAGTGGGAGGTGTCCTGGGTAGAGGGTGAGACTAGAGAAGATGTTTTGGGAAACCACATGCTTTGGATATTAGCGCGAGTTCTCAATCTCATTTTTGGACCAGATGGACGAACTGAAGCAGGTAAAGAGCAGCGCCAAAGCTTCCTGCACGAGATCGAAATGTGGCGAAGGGGGCTTTCTGACACGTTTGTTGGTATTTCATACGGGGAGAAAGACGAAGATGGCTTTGGCAAAGTATACTTCCCAGTGGCGGCCGCAGCCGCCACAGCATTTTGTACGTTTATAGAAGCACGTAGCGCTCAACATGATCTAACGGGTCCAGGGTATCATATAACACATATTCTGCTCTATGCAGAGCCGGAGCTTCAAGACGAGGCCTACATTCCTCTGATTCAAGAGCAGGCTATGGAGATAACCGACATAGCAATATCAGATTTCCCCCCATCGCTGATGGTATTCTCTACGCATGGTCTTTTCTATGGTACGTATCCATCCTTCCGGCTACACATAGTCAAATGATTTTACGATCACAGCGAAACGGTAACTGATACGTTCTAGCCGCGAAACACATCCATGGGATCTCAAGAAAGGCGCGTATCTGGAACGTCTTGAACGAGGTTGAGCGGCAAACTGGATACAACACGAGTACGACCGTGAGGCTTCTCCAGACTTTGGTGGAGGAAGGCGCGCAAAGCCATAGCGCAAATATCTTATGAGCGATTCCTCTTGCTTCGAAAGGAAAGCCATCATAGTTCACCAGTCTCTGCCTACCAAGTACCTGGAGAATGGCCGGCATCGGACCGAGCCGCCTCGTTGGTCAGCTGCGGGCTGAAGCGAAGCCAACGACTGATCAAGCATTGACTGCGAGGCTTCTGGGGTGATGATGGGGTCGGAAGTTTTCATCCTATCGCATTGTCTGGGTGTAGCGACTTCGGTCACACTCCAGAGTAGTGGCGCGTAGAGCACACCTCTTACTGGTAATCATTACCGTTACCCACCCCACGTACATCCTCAGGCCCAACACGGATGCTGGAAACAATTCAAAGACATCTCCAAAGACACGGTCAATCACGATTTCAAATTTCCTTATCTATCAGGTTTCGTTCCAAGACAAAGCTGTGACAAGATTTGGCATGCGCAGCCGGGTTCTGGCGCACGTCGCGAGGCTGCGCCGCCTGCACAGCCCGCGAAAAGTCGGGTAGGCAGCAGCAACACAACCAGTCGAAAGATGTCCCATGTTCTGACAAGCGACTGGGCAGCGCATATCAGTACCCTTTTCGCGACTTTTGTGAGCGTATCGCATGAACTTGTTCAGCTTTTGGATATCGACAACGCCACAACTTCGTTTATGCGCGGGTAGTCTCAGCCATGCACGACAGGTTGTTTCGCGCAGCCTCCACGAGAGTGTTGATGGGACGTTGGTTATATTCGCCACTCCAACCGATTTCAAAATGCCATATTCATCATTCTTTCTCACACCATTATGGCACCTCCACTCAATTCTCAAGATGATCGTGCAGCGTTCGTTGACGCTTGTATTAACAAGCGTAAGAAAGCGATGCATGCCTGGGAGTCACTTGGCTTGATCAGTGAGAAGTTACACGATGAGCAACACGGCTACTTTGTCAACAAGGAAAAGGCCGACAAGGCTAACGAACTGCAAAGAGTGGTTGAGGGAATAGCAAAGTCGTTCGCTACCTCGTATCGTGGCACCATTGAAGAACTCCATACTTACCTGGCTGAGGAGAATGCCTTCTCGGAAGATGTCCTCCGGCTCGGACAAGAATTTGGAGTGAAGATATGGGGCCGTATAGAAGACGGCGAAATACGCTCGTCAGGTGAATCCCAAGGAAACGGCATCGAGGAGCAGGACTGGGACGACCCAAAAGACCGCCAGAAGTGAGCACTTGATGCGTTCTCATAAACGACCTTACTGACTCCCTCTTAGTATTCTGTTCTACATCCGATGCTGGCTCATATGTACCGTGGTCAGAGAGTACAGGGCGACTCCACGAAAAGGGAAAGCAAAAGGCCGGACTCGCGAATTAAGTCCATCTCAAGATCAACAGAATGAAGATACCGTCGAAGATCTCGCAGAAATTGACAGCCCCAGAATCATAGGTGGATCGTTTCGGGCGCCAGAGCCACCACGTATGTATCCAACACCGGAACCGCGCAGAGATACGGCATCCACCAATGTCAACGAGAAGGCTACAAGCACTGGTTTCACCTCCGTGAACAAGACCACAACCCCGAGTAAGAGGAAAGCGCAATATTCCCACGAACGAACACCTTCTGGGAAGCTTCCGAAGCCTTCAAAGGGCGGTCGAACGGTTCCTGTCCTCACTAATCAGTCACGAGATCCCTACTCGATCCCCATATCCCCTCCCACGCTCTCCCCTATATCTCCTCCCGCGTTTCCGAATCTAGGCCGCTCATCGTTTGGAAGACGAAGAGAGTCCACATACGACTCAGACGCGACTTGGGCACCGCCTCGTGAAGAAACTGCAGATGCGGAAACGGTGGTCGATGCGGAGGAGACCAACCCAGGAGAAGTCGGTAAGTTCTTTGCTCCCCGAGCAACAACAAACATCTAAGCCAACCTGCATAAGACTCGCGAATCCAGAACGACATCGCCACATACAATGCAGATGACATGCAGTACGAGTACGAAAATGACATCAACAACGCCGCCGGCCCATCGGGCACCTACCGAAACCCGCTCAGACAAGACTCGGTCATACCAGACACACAAACGCAAAACGATGCAGTAGATGCTATCATCTACCCTCCAAGTGGCCAAATCATCCAAATCGACGAAGATACATCAAGCGATGCATACACCGACGCCATAATCCGCTCCCTCATCTCCGACCCCTCCCCCACGACCCGCCAAGCGCGCATATACCGTCTCGAACTCTATAGACTTCTTGTCTCCTACCTAAACGGCATCAAGAACTTCGATCCCACCAACTATGATTCCGCGGCTGAAGAACGCATGGATTTCCTACTCAATCAATTTCACTGCACCAACGCTGATGCGTGGCATGCTGATCGCAAGGATAGTGCGCTTCGCCTGCATCTCGCGTTCGAGAAATGGATGAGTATGCGTCACCGTCTCGCTGCTTTTCGCAGCGTGACGGGTTACTTTGGGTCGCCGGGAAGACAGTGGGAGGAGTTTCTGAGAGGGTTGAATGATATACCGCATGCGGAGGCTATTCTAGCTTTTGTGGATCTGAAGGATGCTGGGGATGGGGAAGAGAGTGGGAGGGTGCTTGGTGATGGGTTTGATAATGATCTTATGATGATGTTTGATGGATTAACGAAGTTTCAGGATTGTAATGGGCCAGAGGCTTTCAAGGGTGTGAGGAAGTTCAATGAGAGATTGTTGGTGTGGTTTAGGGATGAGTGAATGGGTGGATGTAGACACAAGATAGACTACACGTAAGACGCAACTGAGACGATACGTGATGCGCTTGCTAATTTGAGATTCCTCGCCATGAAGGCTTGAGGTGAGGTAAAAGCTTCGGACAACCATGGGGTATATGGACTGATCACATCTGCATGTTTCGGAAAGTTGTAGTACCTAGGCACCTAGGGAGTGTATAATCTCTCGCCCACACAGCTTTGCAGCGACTACACATTCGTCCTTCGCGATCAAACTCTCCATGATTACGACCATTCCTTCTTGCTTCCAGTCAGCCAGTAACTACCAGACTTGTTACGACATGCAGCAATTATCCGGCCCAAGGTCCAGCGCTGGCGCGGAGGGCGATTGCTTCGATCGAGCTCTCGAAGATGCACGAGCGGGCAAGTGGGTAGACACCCAAGGTAGCTTTTGAGTAGAAGTAGGCGTGAATCTCGTCGCAGAGGAAGCGACATGTCATAGATAGTTCGGTTGGTGCGCTTCGGTCGATGTAGGTGATTAGTCGCTCTTGTGGGTGTGCGGTCCGATTTTGCTTGGGCTCCTGACGAAAGAGGTAGTCGTAGATCTCGTAGCGCAGTTCTTTAGGGAGACGGAGGAGAGGGCTGGAAGGAGTGGACAAAGCCATGACGGACGGGTTATGTCGAGGCGGTAAAGGACGTTGAGTGAGTTTGTAGGTTCGGAGATCTTTTAAGAAGCTGAGATAGGAAGCCTCAAGGAAGAGGCAAGGCTGTGAATGGTCAAGTACTTTCAGAAGGTGACATGTGGGTTGGCGTTATGGCACGCCTTGTGATGCATGATGACGTACTACCTGGTATGCTTTTGGTGATTCGATAATGGTCAAAGAAGTCGGATTTGTAACATCCCGGAGCCTTCTCAAGCGGTGCGTCCAACAGTAAACTATTGCAGGCCACAAGTGACTCAAAGAGCATAATATTCGGATAAAAGCATAGAATTGTTGCATTTTCCGTCCTTGCTCCAACGCCACGCGAATGCAAGTCATGTAAAAGAGGCATATTACATATCCCATATCTAACTCCACAGCCTCAGCGTTCCATCCGCACCAGCCGACACACACCACGGCTCCCTCGGATGCCAGTCCAGACCCATAACACCGAGCCTGCTCTTGACCTTGTGTCCGCGCAGTACCTTCAAAGGAACGATAGTCGCGTTCTCCATAAGGTCACCCACGACCTTTCCGTGGAAGATCTGGATAGTGCCGTCGTCGGAGGTATCGGCGAAGAGGGGCAGACCTCCTTGATGGAAGCGCACTGAACGGATAGCTTCCTTGTGGAAACGGAGGGTCTTGTAGGGTTTGTTGGAGAGGTCGAGGTCGTGCCAGAGGAGACGCTAGATGGGGAGTTAATTTCTGCTTTGCTAGTGTTATGGTATATGGGAAACTTACCTTGTCGTATGTTCCGACAATGATATTGTCACCACCGGGATGCACATCTATGGACGAGATCCATTTAGCACCTGGTTGCAAGATCTTGACGAGTTCCTGCTTGGCGAGATCATAGCTGCGGATGGTGTTGCGGGTGGCGACGAAGAAGATGGCTTTGGAGGGGTGGAATTGGGCGGTTTGCGCGATACCCTTGAGGCGGCGGAAAGGCAGTTGAGTGAGGTGTTTCGAGACGGTATGGATGGCAACTGCTGTGCTTTGACCGCGGGGCGATACGGTGGCGAAGTAGTCTCCTCTCCGGTGCCAGTTGACAATCTTGACTGCTGCTCGGACTTCGACTTGAACGAGGACGCCCTTGTTCTCCAAACGGGCTCCTGGACGACTCCACTTGCCTGGTGCTGCTTTAGGTGCCTCGCCAAATGTTGTTGTGGTGGGCTTCGAGGCTGCGTAACCCCAACCAGCGTCGAGGACCTCGCGACTGGCTTGCTCTACGTCCGGTGAAAGGAGTGCGAAAGGTACGATTAGGTAGACGTTCTCACCGCAAGCAGCAGCTACCACGGATGTCTCCTTGGTGGGTCTCCATTGTACTGCATCCACGGCCTCCTCATCTGATAGCTTTGCGTTCCAGACCTGGCGACCGGTCAACAGCTCCCAGATCCTTACGTAGCCGTCGTCACCTCCACTGGCAACAAAGATACCGTTAGGATCGACCGAAACACAACGTACGCGTCCTTCTTGTCCGCGGTATATCGCTGCGCATGTAGTCGGGAAAGGCTTGAGCTCTTCAGGGTTCGGCAGCTTAGGTAGCAGTGATTCAGGGTCGATGTTGAGTCGGTTTCTCCGGATACGGGGAGCCAAGTAGAGATCCAAGCTTCGCTCAAACCGTTCCTTGACGAATGTCTCGTAACCAGGGACCTTGCGCAGCGCATCGTAGTTCTTGGGCAGGAAGTCTGTCTCCCGCTCCTCATCGTCTTGCTCCAGCCACTTCTGTTCCTCGACCTTATCTGGCAAGTACTCGGGCGGTGGGTGGTAACTCGCTTCGTAGCCAGGCGGTGGCAGCTTGGGGGCGGGAATGTGCATTGTGTTATCGGGTCGGGGCTTCTCGTCCGCCCATACGTCAAAAGTGAAAACGTCTTGCTCTTCCTCCTGCTCCTCCGGTGCCCTGTATGGCTTGATGCGGCCTTCCCTAATCGCCTTGACGATCTTCATGACGCGCTTCGCTTCGTGCTTGGAGGGGATGAATCGTCGCTTGGGCTCTGGCGCAGCGCTCAGTGGCATAATCTCCGTGTTGACGCCAGAGAAGTAGGCGACCATCTCTGGATATGGGTCGTAACCATCTTCCACGATCTCGTTCCTTGTGAGCCTCTTGAGTACATCGAGCTCCTCGGGCGATAGATTCAGCGGTTTTCCTGTCTGGGGATCCGTCAAGCCTGTCCAGCCCTTGGGTATGTCGATGCTGTCCAACAGCGCATCCAGCGCCTCTCCCTTTGCCGGACGCATGATCTTCTTGCCGTTGATATCGTAGCCAATGTGCGGGTATTCATCGTAGTACTTGAGGTCGATGTTGCCGATCGTGTTGGTAGCTTCGGCGTCAGAATCGTCAGACTCGTAGACTGGGTCGATTTCTTTGTAGATGTAGCGAGTGTTGCCGTGCGCATCGGTGGTGACAGTGTAGTTGGGCTTCAGGTCTTCATCGTCTTCTAGTTCCCCATTTGTGCCACCCACGTCCAGATCCATCTCGTGGGTAGGTACGCCATTCTTCTTGCGCAGTGGAACATCCGAGGTATTCAGGTTGCGCATTTCTTCACGAATCTGCTCTGCATCGCTGTCTTCCTCCTCCTCTTCATCCTCGTCGGAAAGACCCTCGATCACACTGCTAGCATCGGTATCGGCGCCTTCATCTTGGCTGTCGTCCGAGTCGTCCTCGGAATGCGACAGGATGCCCTCGAGCAGTCCGTCGGCCAATTCACCTTCCGAGTCACTGGGCTCGGGCGCCGGACGCGTCACTACCTTTCTCTTGCGCGGGTTGCTTGACATTTTCGGCGATTGATGTTTCCTCGTCACGTTCACCGCGGACTGTCGCAACTTCCCAAAAATTATCGCTAGCGTTCAAGATTTCGGTTTTAGCGCGTCGCACGTGCCAGGCTGCCATCAGCCAAGCATATCCTCGGGGCCTCTACAGCAACTTTATCGCAAACTCCGCAACTCCAACTCTCTGTTTACCCCACGCAATTGCAACCACCACCCGCATCTGCTACGCCAAGACACCACCCCAGACTGATTGCAGCAGTAATTCCACCGACTCACCATGGCGACGCGCCACTCTGACTACGATCGTAGGCGCCATTCCCCGCGCCGCGACCGCGACCGCGGAGATCGTGGAGACCGCTACGGCGAGGGTCGCTTCAGAGACGACCGTGACCGCCGAGACCGCCGCGATGACCGTCGAGAGCCTGACCGTCGAGACCGCGACCGCGGCGACACGTACCGTCGTCGTTCGCGCTCCCCGCCTCGCCGCCGCGACCGATCCCGTGACCGAGGAGACCGTGCCGACCGCGGAGACAGCTACAGGCGCGACCGCGACGGTGATAGAGACCGGCGTCGCCGCTCCACTTCCCGTCGACCTGGTTCCCGTTCATCTGCTACACCTGCACCTGGCTCAGACAGTTGGAGGCGCGATGACGGCAGACGCGACGACAGCAGGCGCGATCGGCTAGATCACTCCTCGCGCGACGACAGGAAGAAAGACCCCGAGACACAAGCCAAGGACAAGCTTGCAGACCGCGCTGCGAAGCTGGCTGAGTGGAAGAAGCTCAATGCCGAGCGCCTGCTCAAAGAGAAGACTGACACACCCGGCTCCGGTGCTTCGCCAGCTGCCACTGCACCTGCCACCCCGTCAGTCACTGCGACTCCCCCGCCAGCTCCGGCATCTGAGGCCAAGCTTGTTGATACCGCTAAGACCAAAGTCATTCCGCAGAAGAGTGCTACTGAGAAAGTCAAGCAGAAGCAGCCCGAGAAGTCGACCTTCAGACTGGATGCTTCCGCCGCAGCCCGTCCTCTAGACATGGCCAAGCCTGCAGGCAAGACTGTCACCAACATTAGCAGTATGTTCATCCCCAGTCCTATTTCCACGAACCACAAGCTCACACCTACAGACGTTCCCATTGTTAAGGGCAATGGCAACATTGGCTCGTTCGGTCTCAAGACTAAGACTGCTGCTGAGACCGAGGAAGAGAATTCCAGAAAGGCATTGCTCGACGAGGAAGGCCCGACCCGCAAGCGCAAGCTACAGGCCCTCCCCGAATTCGACGCCAACGAGGCACCTCTGCTCGAAGCCGACGGCGACAATGCGGACTCTCCAATGAGTGACATCGGCAGTGATGACGAGAACAACGCGGAGCTTCAAGCTCGCCTTGAGAAGCGTCGCGCTGAGATCGCCAACGAGAACCAAGAGGACACTGCCATGGAAGAGGCAACTGCTGTCGAAGCCCCTGCCGACGACAAGATGGAAGTTGACGAAAATGCAGGCGCCGAAGAAGATGACGTCGATCCTCTCGATGCCTTCATGGCCGATCTCACCGAGCCACAACCAAGCCGCGGAGCTCCTTCGGGTCAGACTATGTTTGCCGACGAGCTTGAGACTGTCGAGACTTCCGTCGAACATGAGGACCTTAACGAACTTCGCGCTGCCAAGAAAAAGAAGAAGAAGGAGGTGCCTACCGTCAACCACGATAAAGTTGAGTACGAACCGTTTAGGAAAGACTTCTACACTGAGCCCTCCGAAGTTGCACAGATGACACCTGAGGAGGTCGCAGATCTTCGCCACGAGCTCGACGGCATCAAAGTCAAGCCTGACGATGTTCCCCGTCCTGTCACCAAGTGGGCGCAGATGGGCCTGCTGCAAGCTACCATGGACGTCTTCACCAAGATCGGCTACGAGAGGCCTACAGGTATCCAGTCTCAAGGTGTACCCGCAATTCTCTCTGGCCGAGATCTCATCGGAGTCGCCAAGACCGGTTCTGGAAAGACACTTGCATTCGGTATCCCTATGATTCGTCATGTCCTTGATCAACGCCCACTGAAACCAACTGATGGGCCTATCGGACTCATTCTCGCCCCAACCCGAGAGCTAGCACTGCAGATTGTCAACGAGCTCAAGCCATTCCTTGCAGCATCGGGTGTCACCATCAAGTGTGCATATGGTGGTCAGCCCATCTCTGAACAAATTGCTATGATCAAGCGTGGTGGCATCCACATCCTATGTGCAACTCCCGGCAGAATGATTGATCTGACCAACGTCAACCAAGGACGAGTGCTTTCTTTCCGCCGCATCACTTACGTTGTCCTTGATGAAGCTGATCGCATGTTCGATATGGGCTTCGAGCCTCAAGTCATGAAGATTCTTGCGAATGTACGTCCTGATCGCCAGACTGTCCTTTTCTCAGCAACTATGCCCAAGAACATGCAATCTTTGGCTCGCAAAGCACTGCACAACCCAGCCGAGATCACCATCGGTGGTAAGAGCAAGGTAGCTCCCGAGATCACTCAAATCATCTCTGTCGTACCGAACAGTTATGAGAAGAAGATCAACAAGACTCTACTGTATCTTGGTCAGTTGTTCTCTGAAGACGAGAATGCCCAGGTATTGATCTTCACTGAGCGGCAAGAGACAGCCGAAGATCTCCTGTCCAAGCTTTACAAGTCTAAGTATTTCTCTGTCAACACGATTCACGGAGCTAAAGATCAGACTGATCGCAACGAAGCGATCAACGACTTCAAGCAAGGTGTTCTTTCGATTCTCATTGCCACATCTGTAGCCGCCCGTGGTCTTGATGTCCCTGGACTGGCTATGGTCTTGAACTTTGATTCGCCAACCCATCTAGAAGATTACGTGCACCGCTGCGGACGTACCGGCCGTGCTGGCAACAAAGGTACCGCTGTTACGCTTATCGAGAACCCCGGTCAAGAGCGCTTCGCTCTTCACATCGTCAAGGCACTCAAGGAGAGCGGTACAGAAGTGCCTCCAGAGCTCCAGGAGATGGCTAACACATTCCATGAGAAGGCCAAGGCAGGCACCGAGAAGTACTATGGCGGTTTCGGTGGCAAGGGTCTCGACAAGCTCGATGCAGCACGCGCACTTGAGAAGAAGCGCGAGAAGCGTCAACTTAAGCTGGAAGGTGTTGACGAGAGTGAAGACGAAGAAGAGATTGCACCACTCATCAAGAAGCCCGAGGTCGCTGGCCCAGCTGGTGCTGTCAACGCTTCTGGTCCTGCTGCAGCTGCCGAAGAAGATCAACCACACTGGATGAAGCTGCTGAACAGCAAGATTGTGGTCAGCAAGACTGAGCGCCCCGACGCTGCCGCTTCTGGCAAGCCGATGACCGCGCGCGAGCGAGCCATGGCCGCTGCTTCCAAGGTCGACGGCAGGCTGAGCAAGAAGGGTATGATCCACGCGGGTCAGCCCATCGATAACAAGGGCCCCGATGCTGGTCTCTACCACTCAACCATCGAGATCAACGACTTTCCTCAGAAGGCTCGATGGGCCGTCACCAACCGCACCAACGTCGCCAAGATTCTGGAGCAGACTGGTGTTTCCATCACGACCAAGGGCAACTACTACCCCACTCCCAAGCAGCCTGGTGAGAATGATCTACCCAAGTTGTACATTCTCGTCGAGGGTGACACCGAGAACATTGTCACACAGGCTATGATGGAGCTCACTCGTCTTCTGCGCGAGGGAACCATTGCGGCCGAGGATGCCTCTGCGACTCGTGGCCCTACCGGCCGTTACAGTGTGGTTTGAGAAGTTTCACTTCGGTAAGGTATGCTCGATTTTCTTTCTTTCATCTCAGCGTTGCTTTCTCAGCGTTGCTTTCTTTTCCATGGCGTCAGTTCACTGCATTGGGAGGAATGGTCAAATGGATGGATGGGAAGGGCATGGGACGGAGTTGAAGGTTTCGACAAAACACGATCGTGCTTCGATACATGCCTCTGGGCTGTACCAAAACGTAAGTTCTTACCTCATCGCCCATTCACAGTCTACGTTGATTTACACAACCCCTCACAGGTTTCTACTCGGCTGCTGAGCTCTATCGGCAACGACACCATTGTACATTAATGAGCTCGGCTACACGGTTAGCCGGTATGCGCTATGCGGGAAGGGGAGTGTGGAGGCTTGACTCTGGTAGTTCTGGTAAAACATGTCTGGTACGAAGGAGTGGGGTCTTGACGCTGGTGCTTTCCATGCAGCCTGATATGGCACGAGAGTGTAGCTTAAGATAACCTTTCAAATGAGAGGCATTTCTGTCTACCACATGAACTTCTTCGCGTGTTCCTAACCACTCATATCTCGCACTGTTTACCCCAACTTGCCTGGCGGCACTGACTCCCGGTCTCCGGAGACGTGATACTGCAACGCGACCTCATAGCGGGCCTCTTCGCCGATCCTGTATACTCCATCAATAAATCTCTCCTCAAGATCACCCTCTGCGCGACAATCAATACATGCAGACGCGAACCGACATTTATTCATTCATTCCTCAGACCCAGATGCGTGGTACGGCTACGCCGTATTGCCCCGAACACCGATGACGCAGCTCTACAGGACCCACGCCGCACCGCACTGACGCCATATCGCCTCCCAAGCTGCAGCTGCAGCTGCATCATCTGAAAAACCCTCCTCGGGGGTATATCCATCGGAATATGTATGTGTAGGTGTAATGGCGCCATAGCTGCATGTCGCATGCTGCATCTTCCACTCCCTCTGCCGTCCTCCCATCCATCCTCCTAACATCCACCGAACCCTACGCCGCAACACTGCATATCTCCTTCGCGTGCATCTCCGCCTATTTTAGGCCGAGCGTCCAGGACCACCTGCAGGGTCGATACATGTCTTAACCTCGCGAAGAAGGAACCTGGACTATTCTGTTGATGATGCAGATGCAGGTGTAAGGCGCGTACGTGCGTGCGTGCGTGCGTTGCTCGCAGAAAAGACGCACAGCACAGCCCTGTCTGCTGCCGCCCCCAACGCCACTCGCTCCAGCTGGATCTGGAGATCCCTTCGTCTCGGATGCGGCTCGGCGAACCCAGGTTCAGGGCGGGTTTTACAAAATGGGGGGGATAGCGGTGGAGGGTGCATGGCGAAGGATGCACGCGGTAGGGTAGGTCGGCGGAAGGACGTTCCGGGTTATTTGGTTGGTTGGTAGGTTGGTAGATTTTCGTTGGAGAGAGTGGGGACTTGGTAAAGGGTAGGTGGGGTGAGGTTTGCGGTCAATCTTTCATGTATTGGACTGATTTTTGGTCGCTGATGAGGTCGAAGGAATGGTTTCTGGTTAAGGAAGCGGTCGGAGGAAGTGTAGCAGGTTGATTAGCTGAGTCGTTGGAGGTATCCTTGCGCAATTAGGCGTTCGACGTCGCCTTGCCGGACGTAGAATTGGGAGTTCTTAGTAAGGGTTATGGAGCTGTGACGTCGGTTAGCTATGATGACTAGTGTACAATATTTCGGATGCGGAAGGAAGGGTCGTAGGCTTCGGCATGCCGAGATGGCGGTCACGTACCCGTACTCTGTTTGGATCTCGCCCGCGTCCTTCAAGACGCGCACGTCGATGAAGAGATCGCGCGGCGGCTCCAGACTCCCCGTTAGATCGATATCCGTCCATTGCCCCTTATACGCAGCAAGCAGATCACTGTATTGCCTCACATACTCCTCCTCTTCAGGGCTCAAACTACTCTCTTCTTTCCCGCCTCCAGCACCCATTCCACTGCCCCTCCCCCCTTCTCCGCTATGGTCCTTGCTGCCCTGTTGTTCCAGCACGTCGACGCCCTCCCAGCAGTATTCTTCCAGCTTGTCGCTCCGCACGCGGTGGTAGGCGAGTAGACACCGCTTGTTCCGGCGCATGCAGAGATGGTTTACGAGGAGGGCGCAGGCGGTTTCGGGGGATGCGCTGGGGTTGAAAGACCCGCTGTAGGGGGCGAGGATGGATGAAACGTCTTTGTCGAGGTCGCGCACTTCGCGCACTATGGAGCGTGTGAGCTCCGAGGCGTAGGGTGGGAGATGGGGGAGGGCGAGGGTGCGTTTGGCGTTTTGGACCTGGGGTGGTTAGAGAGGCTGTATAGTATTGAGGTATGGATGGAGTGTTCATACCAACTTGTTGGCCGCTTCTCCATACATGGCTGTGGTGGGTGTTTTGGGTCCTTAGATGTTTTCTTGGTGGTACAGAGATGTGACGATCAAGCAAACGCGACTCGTCACTGCGATTTGTAGGATGCGCAGAAGTTGTAAGCTACTATACTGTGTGTAAAAAGGTAGCAACAATTAGGATTGTGCAGATTGTTAACTAAGAGAATCAAAGACTGCGTAGTTCGAGCAAGAGCGATTGGCGCATGCGATGTAACAGTAACATTTGTTGGACCCTCCCCGAAGGCAGGCGCGTTCCTGACGCGGGGGCAGGTGGGGCGGGGACGGGTCTTGGCTTGTCGAGTCCAACTTCAAACCTCTTCTGGCAATCCCTTCCACAACGCCAGCAATCCACGCAACCTCATTCGCCAGCATCGCCAAACCCTCGGCTGGCATCATGTATGCTATCGCATACACGGAAAGATGGATCGGTAATACGCACGATGAACACGACATCACGTCAGCATCGCGTCAAGAGAAGAGCGAAGGAAGATTGACCTAATATGTACATCTCGATCTACGCATGCGATAACCCCATGTCTAAATGCTTTAAGCCCCCGAGCTTTTGGTCCGATCAACGCCTTGAATGCTGCCCACCATGGAAGCGCTCATCAGAAACCACCCAACGATGCTGAAATGAACGGTAATAGCCAGGAACGACGTCGCACGTAAGCGTAAGAGCAACATAACCACCCAGAATGCACTAGCTAACGTGATATAGATCACTGCTCACCCATCCACTTATCAAACTCCGACTCTTGTTCGAGCGACACCATGGTCGGGTCTGACTGCCAAGCTTGGTACTCATCATGCGGAAGATCCAACAAGCCATCAAGGTTGTGCTGCTCAAGCCTATCTTCTTGCATGTCCGGATGAGGATTCCGGTATACGGCGTTCTGCAACGCTGAAGGGTCGATGTCTGAATGATTTCCTCCGTCGTAAGCCAACAGCAATGGATCCAGCTGCCCTTCGTCGAATGATGAACTCATGTTCGGGTGCAGCTGTTGCAGAAGATCGTTCGCATTACCTCCAGGTAATCCCAGCATCGATGGATTCGAGTGGAACTGCATGGAAGAGGATGGCGTGTCTACCCTCCTCATGTGCATGTCGTCTGCGTATGTCGGACTAATCTGCATATTCGGGTAGGGGGCAGTCTGGTAGTACTGATTGTAGAGCTCGTTGTGGCTTATCGGCATCGGCATCGGTCGCCCTTCGTTTGTCATCTCCCAGGACGATCGGTTGATACCATTACCATTCGGTCCGAACGACTGATCGAAGTACTCTACAGCAACACCATTTGACGGATAGCTGAATGATCGATCGATTCTCCTGGCCTGTCGGGGACGAGACCTGCCACCACCGGGAGCCCATTCGGCATCGTCAAGGTCGCTCGGTTCTTCTTCGTCAGACCACTCGCTTCTTCGCTTACGAGCCGGCGCTGCTGTCTTGCTAGGCGAGAACTTGTACGTCGGGTGTGCGTTTTGGTGGTTGATCCTCTCGATTTTTGCGTACTCGTTGTATAGCTCGCGGATCTCCGGCGGCTCCAGCGGCCAGCTCTCCCCCGCTACGGACGATACGACTTGGTGGTTGTTTTGAAGACACCATGACTTGGCCCTTTCCGCAAACGCCGACCGGTACAGCATGAACGAGTTCATGGGACGAGTGATGTATCCATTCCTCTTCTCGACTTCGCGTCTCCTGACATCCGCTGGCCTGTTGACCCATTCCTCCATATTCTTGACCGGGATATGATGTAACTCCTTAGTCAGTATGCTCAATGGCGCAGTAAGCTTAGGCGTCTTGTGCTTCTCGTTCTTCGGTGCTTTCGGCTTCTTCACTCTCGGTGTCGCTTTCCGTCTAGGGCTGGTCTCGTTCAGGCGTGGAGAACTGGACGATGTCGTTGCTCGTCCGCTACGAGTTGTCCTACGTCCGGAATCCTCATCGTTCGCGGATCTTGGTGTCGGTGGCGAGAACAAGGCTTGCTCGTTCTACCATCCATTAGCAATCGGGTCAGAAACAATCGGCGACATTACTTACCTGCATGCCGTTATACGGCCCGTTCTGGTAATACTCCGCTGGTGGACCATATCCCTCCTGTAACTCGATCAGCATGGTTACATGTGTGAAGACGCAGGGACTCTTACATATTGTATACCTAGTCCGAGCCCACGAGGATGGTTGTCGGCATGTGACGCATGTGAAGGGATCCCTTCGTGCGCCACCGAGCCTGGCGAGCCGTACCCTGTCTCACCGAACGAATAGCCGCGATCGACGCCATATTGCGCAACTGGGTGCAGCCCGGACTGATAATCTGACCCAGCATTCGGTGGGGTCGGAGGATGTTGTTGGACGAGCGTGTCACCCCTCATCATGGCGAGTGTTGATGCACAAGTTAGTTGCTGCGACAGTGGAGATTGCGGACTGCCGATTGGCCTTGTTTCCGGACTCAACGCAACGCTTAAGCGATGGAGATCGATAGTTGAACAGAGCAAGCGCAACTGCAATGGATGAAATGACTCTTCTGTTGGTCAAAGGCCGCGCAACATGAAGACCGGAGGATTTTGTTGCTTCTGGATACCGAGATGCGTTCGTTGGGCTCTCGAGAAGATACTGGATGAGACTGTTCTGTTCCAGATATTGTACTGGATATGTGTCAGTACGGCTAGCGAATGTGTCGCTCTTTGCTGGGTTTGCTTCACCGCAATGATGCATAGCAGTTCGCAAAGTGTTCAGGGAACGAACCTGTTGCAGTTACCCGCTTCTCACCGGCACCAAGGCTTTGGTGCAGAGACAATCAGCGTGGACGACTATGCGATACCAACTTGCAAGTCAGACACCGCCGTACTGTTTGAGTTGTGTTGTTCCGGCCCGTGTCTCTTTGTGGCGAAGGCAGAGCTCGAGCAAAGTGTGAAGGGCAAATCAACGGAGAAGGATTCTTTGTCCGGGATCAGTCGCCAGAAGGTATTTGTAGCGACTACACAACCTCGAGGTCGACTGCTCACGTATGTGTATAGTGTACTTAGTCGTCTGAACATGGACAAAGGCACTACCGGATTGGTGTTGGCTGGGCGCGCTTGACACACTCAGACGTCGCGCTGCTTTTGGCCTGCGAACCTCTCAAGCGATGAACTACCTGCGAAATGGCGCAAGACCTAGCCTTCTGGTCCGTTCACGTTTCGAAGTCGAAAATATCATGTCCGTCCTGTTGTGGGGTTGAAAGCGGCCCTCAGCCCCTCCACATCGACAGCTATAGACGGAAGCTACTCTCAATCTAGGCGCCCTTCCTTTCAAATCGCCTACCCCAAGAAGCTGTCTACCAATCTTAGCAGGGGTGTACTATGGCTTGCAGCAGTCATGTGCACTGGGCGCTCGCTATAGCAAGCCACACGCTCACTGGTATCTTTAGCCTCCAGAACGACCCCTGAAATTATGTTCCGCCAGAACATGGGCTGCATTCCTGCACCAATTGCATCACCGGGGGCTCGCGGTACCCTTTCCCAGCAACCAATGACATAGATGGTACATGACCAGAAATCTTCCCAAGGCCGAACGTGGTTGGTCGACCAAAACTTGGGTTCTTTCGCTACGTAGTCAAGCCTGACGTGCTGTTCACGGATGGCTGCAGCCTTCTATGTCAGATCCCTGACAGCTGGTCATACTTGGCAGGGCTGACCACGACACAACGATTTCTAACATCCACACCGCACATCAAAATGCAACTACGCAGTCAATCTACAGGCGGCGACAAACTAAGCACATCTCAAACACTCGATCTCAAACACATTATCATGATTTTGCGGTCGCCGGACAAAGGGTAGGGTCGGTACGGCAATCCCGACAGGCTGGTTACGATGCGCCCCCGCGGCGAGGTTCAGGTCTGTGTTGACCGCTCAAGCTCAGAATAATTCCGTCCATCTTGCCTCTCGGCTATTGAACCCGAAATGCTGCAGCGACGACAGTTGGGGTAAGCCCGTCGCAGTCAACAGGCACTCAACGTCCTTCGGTGACAGGCCGCGGACATCTGGGTAAGGTCCTGCATATTGCATGCATACAGCGAAAAGTTCGGTTGCTTCCGGTCGATCGTGTTGACATGGGGACCTGCCTTTGGAATGCGTACTATCGCCGTTTCGGCATCACGACCAAACAGTTACAGCCTTGTGCGACCAGGTTTGGCTGAGCCTCAAAGACGATAGTGATTGGTTCGAGCAAGCGCGAAACAAAAGTGGAGACCACTGTCTGGAGTATTGCTTTGAACCAGGAGGCTTGAATGAGTTTGTACTGTTTGAGCATGCTTCTCTGACCGGTGTACCCAAGAATGAACGCAAACGGACTATCACCATGCCAAAGTACTCTGGCAGTATCGTGGAGGACTACATCAGGACACATGACAGGTATCCATGGTGGGTACAGCATTGTCGACTCGAGCTACTCGTAGTCACAGGTGTCGAGAGCATCATCTGCGCACGTGTGTGTGATCGACGCCGTAGCTGTCAATGTCTGCCTCCACTGACCCAACTTCTGCATTACCCAGATAGGCTATATCTCCGTTACCTTCGCCAGCTATCGCAATTGCAAGAAACCATTTCCGCAATTTGCCATACGATGATCCCGTCGGCGGGCTAAAGAGATAGGATCCGCTGGTTCTACCCGTCATCGACCCGGATGTTCTCGGTCACAGACCTCCCCGCGCCTCCGTCCACTTTTTACAACGACTATCTACGCCTAAAGCGCTCGGTACCTTGCAATAATTGCAAACCAAGAGATGTTGTACTACCATTCCGCGGACGCCAAGAGTCAAGGTCGGCCCCCATTTTGCTGGAAGGGTTTGGCGGTTGAGCGGTCTACCCCACTTCCCAGCATTGTTACCATGGGACGAGCTTCTGGCACGGGAATTCCGTCAATAGTGTGATCGAAACCACCAATATCATTGCGCTCGAAGCAAGCTACGCTCAAGCTTCGGCCCTTTTCTGCTCACAGCACGACAAGTGCCGCGCCACCGGCACACTCGCGTTGAAGATGCAGTTGCATGACATCTTGCACGCTGGAGTTGCCTAGCCACCTCAGGTATACACGCCTCCGGCACCAGGAAGCTGGCGCTGGTACGCTAGTATGCGCTCTTGCAGTAGGCCAACGGTCGCAGTTCGATCCAGCAACTATGCCGCGAGGTACCCATATACGGATTGATGCTTGGTACGGCTCTCATGCAAGTATCGCACGATTTGCCTGACATTCTTCAATGTACCTTGATGAAAACTTACCCGTTCCAGAATGATCAGAAGACACGGCACAGTGGCACAGTCGACGAAGCTCCCGGCAAAAGCTTACGATATATCTATGGCGTCGAGGCAATATCCCAGCATGCCGCTCAGTAACGGGACGCCTCTGTCGCTTCTGGCGCGAAGGCGCTTATCTCGCGTAGTTTTGCCGGCTAAAGTATGTGACGAGTAGCGCACCAGCATCAGGGCAGCACTTGTCACACAACAACACGTGCAAGATCGGGGCTTCCGCTCGATCATCGCTTTCCAACGGTGGACTAAGGTCGTTGTAGACTGAGCGCCACCGTCAGCCTGGACATTCGCCTCTTGCTTTACCCCTCATTTCACGTCAAGGCCTGAATCCTTCTCCATTCCATTCGGCTAAAACGTCAGCGTCGCTCACCACTCCACTCACCTTATCTCCTTGCTGAACCGATGCGGCTTAAAGATGACATGGGTCTTTCCTCAACCAGCTAGCATCGTGTTACGCCACCCCATGGAGTCGGTACACGCTAGCACGTGATGTCACTAACGCTGCGCTCCTGTCGCTTACCCCAGTCGTTGGTCGACGCCCATCCACAACGGCTGCCAGCCTGGATGTGGGAAATGCTGAATCCTGTAGGGGTGGCGAAAGTGCATGTTCGCATTAGCTCGCATCTTCCTGCCCAACGTACTTTCGTTGAGCTATCTAACTTTGCATCACATTGCGCGAATGCGCGCGATATGAGATGGCTGTGTCTAGTGCAGAGGAAGGTCAGGGTATCCTCGCAGTGCAAGGTGCCAGTCATGCAGCGCACACTTCATTCAGTGGTTATTACTTCAGTCACAGCTGTGAGGTCGACAACCAGTACCTTGCGTTTCTGCTGATACCAATTGCTTGCAATTCTCACAGTAGCAACGTTGACAAAGAGAGTACATTTTGCCTTGGAGAGTCGAAACAGTGTCTCGTCAAATTTCACTATGCCGCTGAGATGGTTCACCTCGTTCACGGCGTCAATTAGAGATTAGCTCCTTGATGCGGTATGAGGAGCGCTGTGATATACAAAACCTCTTATGAGACAATGGAGTGATCAATCAATGAGACAAGCACGTAGAATAGTCATTCATGTAGCTCACGGAAAGATTTGTTTGTACCAATGATTTATATCGCGACATCATATGAATCGCACAAACGTGTCTATAAACCCGGCTCAGGGAACCAGCACCGAATTTGAACGCGACTGACTGACAGATACCCGCATTATGACAGAGACCAAACCAATGTCTTCCCCTGACCACGAAGCTGCATCTCCGAACTCTTCAGATGAAGAGCAGCAAGGACCAGTCAGACCCGTAACACGAACGAATGCTTCATCCTTCGCTGCCCCGACCAGAGCATCTGAAGCGAAGAAGAACGAGAAGATCGAACTTGCTCAGTATGGGAAGAGGGGGGCGTCGACGAAGGAACCGTCGAGCCGGCCAGGTAGTGCGATGCGGCAGCATTCGTCGACTGGGTTTGGTAGTAGACCGCAGAGTCGTCAGCGGTGGGGGGCTGGTACGCCTACGCGGGATGGAGATGATGATGAGGTAGATGATGTTGATGCTGATGTTGACATTGATGAGGAGGACGCAGATGACGATGAGGAACACGTCGACGATGACGACTCTAGTCAGTTTGATAGCGACGTGGAACACGAGAGATGCGCAGAGGAAGAAGAAGAAGAAGAAGAAGCACCGCCTATCCTAGAAGGGGAAGGGCTGGAAGGAAAGCCGCTAGAGAAGGAGGATCTAGGAGAAAATAAGCCAGAAGAGGAAGAGCTCGAAGAGCAAGCACAAGAGCAAGTATCAGAGCCCGAAGAAGAGTTGACAATACAGGAACAGGAGCAATCGTATGACTTAGAAGATCTCTTAGCCCAGGAAGAGCCACAGGTGTATCACGTTGAGAATTCCAGTACTGATGTTCAGGAATCACAACAACGGGAATCACCCTTGACGCAAGACGATATGGCTCCAGTATCACAAGAAGATCATGTCGAGAATGTGGAAAGCCAGACCGCGGCATCTCAAGACCAGATCGAAAGCGTATCGCCGCACGGCAATGAAGAAAAGCCTATCGTTCCGCCCGAAATCATTGCAGAGATACAAGACCTCCAGATCAAACGTCAACAAGTGGAAGAAGAGCGCGACGAGGCAATGAGACAGCGTGAAACCGTACTACAAGAGTTGCAAACCGTCAAAGAAGAAGCGTCGAACCTAAAGAAACAGTACGAGAAGCTATCTGTCCAACTTCGCGAGAGCGAAGCCAAGATTGCAGCGCGCAACGCACGCGAACCTGGATTACCTCCTCTTGAAGAGGTGGAAGCGGAGAACAAAAAGCTTCGAGCATCGGTCGAGCGGACGCGGTTGGAGCTCGCGGCGAAGAAAACAGAGGCAGAAGATGCGACTGCTGCCTGCAAGTCGTTTGATGACTCACTGAGAGAAGTGGACGAGAAGTTGAAGAACAACCAGGAGTCTATCCGCACACTCTGCGAAGTTGTCAACCAAGTGGCCGAAAACTTGCCACGGATCTCGAAATGCGAGGCCAAAGAGCTCGATGCAGTTTTCTTGAGTCTTTCGCAAGATGATGAGACTGGAAAACTGCGAGGTGAATTCCTAAAACTGATCAAAAACTTCAATGGAAACTCTAAAGAGTTGAGGGAGCAGATCGAAGATTTGAATCGTGAGCTAGCGGAGAAAGAATACGAGATTAATAGTTTGGGAAAGACCATCGAAATCGAGAGGAAGGGGTTGTTGAGCCCCGGTCTACCAAGTCCGCATCCCATGCAAACTGGTAAGAATGAATGGGAACAGTACTACGAACGGGAGAAAAAGAAGCGCCGTGATGCAGAGTCGGAGCTCGCCAAAGCAAAGAAACAGCTGTCACAACTCCAGCCCGAGAATGAAAAACTACAATCAGACCTTACCAAAGCGGAAGAAGAGCTCGCAGAGCTTCGCCCCAAAAACGACCAGTTGGAACTGGAGGCCAAGACCTGGAAGGAAGAACTTGAACAAAACAAGACCCAATTCGAACAATGCAGCCTCGCGTTCGAAGCCAACATGTCCGAGCAACAGCTGGAGAACTTCCGATACATCCGGGACTACTACCAAAAAGTCAAAGATCACGCCCATTGGGAAGTCCAAGGCCTCCAACAAAAGCTCTCAGTAGCAGACCAAGTAAAGGAGGCACTAAAACGAGACTACAAGCGCGAACAAGGCGTTAATACGCGCTTGGAAGATGCGGTGATTAGACTGAGGAAGAGCGTCAAAGCCCGGGATATTCATATCGGAAAAACGGAACAAGCGTTCATGCGCGAAGCACCGTTTCCTATCCGTTCACCTAGTACCTCTGGTAGCCGCACACCTGATAGCGATACCTCATCGTCTACGTCCCCTTCTTCGATATCGGACTGGACTCATCCACTCGAACGCGTCAAGAGGCCTCCGCTCATACCACGCTGCCACCTCCCCGCCGCCATCCAAGCGCGCGAAGCCAGACTAGACACGTATAAACAAGAACTTGAGGAAGCGCGAGAAGTAGAGATCTTCAAGGCCAGTGTCAAACCTCGCGGATCGACAGCCAGGGGTGGAACTATTGCGACCGACATCATGGACCAAGTGCGGAAATCCGGCATGGGGTCTTTGTATCCGGTTGAGAAGACGGGGTGGTTAGATACGAGCTGGAAGGGTGCGTGGGAGAGGTGGGATGGGAATTACTGGGCGATGGAATTTGCGAAGGGGAAGCAGGTAGACTTTTTGAAGAAGGTGGGGGTTTGGCGGGAGGATTGGAATTAGTAGCATGATGTAAATAGCAATGATCTGCGATAGATTGCTGTGTTAGTTTCTTCAACCAAGAAAGGAAGTGCCGTAAGAGTCCAAAGTAACAATTCGATTCGTTCCAGGCAAACCGAGCATCACACTATTCGGTGAATAACGCGCTGATAGCCGCATACTCCAGACCACTTAGACCGCTTCCGTTGTCTCAGTCTCGCCCTTCTCCTTCTTTGCGACATTATTGATAGTGGCAAGCGCTTCTCCCTTAGCTTGCGCAGCAGCAACGTTCTCGAGGTCGCGTGCAAGATTGTCGCTACCCTTCTTGGTCTTCCAAGCGTGTGGGCCCTCTTTGCTGAACAAGAATTCAACCTCCTCAAGAGTCTTGCCACAGGTCTGTCCGAGAAGTTAGCAGAAGTCATGACAGATATCCCAGGTTTCCTTACCTCAGGGTAGGTGAAGAAGAATTGGACGGCGGCCATAAAGCAGAGGATTCCGAAGACAAGGAAAAGTCTCCATCGAATGTTGACAAACGCGGGTGGAATGAACAATCCAATGGCGAAGTTGAAAAGCCAGTTTCCAATCGCTGCGATACCCATTCCGGAAGCTCGAGTTTCTAGTGACCAGACCTCAGCGGCGTAGACCCAGCAGATGGGTGCGAGGGTAAGAGCGTAGAACTAAGATGCGGAATTAGTGTGGTTCATGTTCAGCTCGTAGAGGTACTTACGATAATCAAAAGATACGAAAACGCGATAACGGTGTACGCCGGCGATCCGGTGACCATCATGACAACATTCGCGTCGCCACCAACACCCTCAGGGACATACGTGGAGAACCCGCCGAGCATTCCAGCTACGACCAGATGGCATATGCCCATCGCAATGGCTCCCCAAACCAGAAGTGTTCGCCGGCCGATCTTGTCGACGAAGAAGAACATGATGGACGAGAAGACGATGAACAAAGCGTACTGCACACCGGAGGAGATAAGCTTGGTGTTGCCTGTAAGACCAGCCATGGCGAAGATGTATACGACGTAGTAAGTCATGACCTGAGAACTGTTAGCAGGACGGTACTACGCGAAGTATGCTCAACATACATTAGCACCCGAAAGCTGCTGCCAGGCCTGGACAGAGAAACCGGCAAGAGTCCGTTTCCACATGCCGTTGTAGACGAACTTTCGCCATCCTTGGGGAGCTAAACGTTCTGCTGTGAGAGCAGTTACGATCTCCTCGTATTCGGCGATGACGTAGGGATCCTCGATGTTGCCGTCGGCTTGGATGGAGGCCAGAATGTGGATTGCTTCTTCTGTACGGTCGACCTTCGCGAGCCATCGTGGAGACTCTGGGAGGAATGGGAGACCGATCATGAACATGACGCAGGGGACGTATTGAATTCCCCAGGCCGTACGGAATGAAGCTGACTCGCCAGGAATGAAAGTACATCCGTAACCTATGAAGTACCTGCGATCTGTTGGCTTGGGCTTGTTTCGTGTGCTCAGTGGACGTACATGATGAGGATACCCCACTCAATAGCGAGCTGTTGGATAATAATGATTGCACCACGCTGCGAGTGCTTGGAGATTTCGGCCAGGTAGACAGGAACCTGAGACGAAGTGATACCGACAGTGACTCCGTTCAATACACGACCGGCGATGAGCATGCCGCGACCAGTTGTAGCAACCTGCAGCGCAGTTCCGACTAGCCACCAAAGACAGGCGAACATAAGGGCATCGCGACGACCAAACTTGTCAGAGATAGGACCAGCGATAGCACTGCCAACCACTGAGCCTGCAGCAAGGGCCGCGCCAATAGCTCCCTGGACGACGCCGGTTGGGTTGTCGAAGTAGGTGCTGTTCGTTGTTAGGGATCAATAAGTGAGGGGTTTGACGTCACTGCGACTTACAGATATTGGTCACTCGGAATGATGGCACTCATCGAAGAGATATCAAACCCGAAGAGCATGCCACCCATCGTGGCAACAATTGCCAAGAAGTAGACATTGTAAATCTTAGGAAACCTTTCGAACATCTTGACGGGGACCTGTCCAGAGCCTTGGGTTGATGCAGAGATGTCAGTCGTTCGACCTGTCGATCCACAGACGTGGGGAGGGTCGAATATAAAGGTCGAGAAAGTCGGCACTACACGCCGCTGTGCTCGACGTGACAATCATATCGCTTGAAGCAGCCGTCTCCACTCGAGTCCCTGCTCCGCATGGAGACTCCATACTCGTTGGTCATAGCCCTGGACAGCCAGGTAAAATGGTTAAAATGGATTTACCGACCCAAGTATAGCGGCCGCATGCCGAGAAGCCTGCCGTCTTGACCATCGGAGAGAAACGAGATCGAGTCAGTGTCGGAGCTCGTGTGATTTGTGGAAAAACGATTCTGGGGTTAGGCTGGAGGTGGAGAAGGACGCGCTCAGGCCCGGAGAGTTGTGGAGATCGCCTCACCCGCGTTGTGCATGTGTGGATGTCGTCAGTGGCATCTTAACCGAACCGGCGGCTCTTTTTGCAGACTGCCGGGATCCGACTAAGGTGGTTGCTTCGATGCGCGATGTTACGTGTGACTGGAGATGTTTCCTGAGCAGGTGTTGCTTCCGATTGTTCTTGTGGGTGATTGGGCAGGAATGCGTTTGAGGGGTGGTCAGAACGTACGATGAAGCGCGATCGTTGCTCTGCTTGGCAACGCTGGCTCTACCGACTTTTACCTTGCCATCGCGATGCTATCAATGGCGACGCATCGCAGTCGCATCGCATTGGGATGGTTGAGATGATGTGCGACAAAGGAGATGTTCTGTGGAAGCGATTTTGTCGAGGATACTGGTTTGTCACATGCGTAGGCGCATCTGATATCAGCGCAAGTTCAAGATGCCTTCTAATTATCGGAGTCGTGACGAACATCGGATTCGGACTTGCTCATCGATGATCGGGCTTTCTTCCTTCAGATGTTCGCGTTTGGGCTAACCTATTGCGTCGCCCTGCGCGTCGACCAGGGTTCTCACAACATGGGAATGTTGAAGCGGGACGACTCAGAAAGTCAGGCCATTCGCCATAATACGCGTACAAATCTTGCTTCGATCACAGCGCCGTGATTGCAGGTCTGGCTTATAAGCTCACACACCTAGCCAATCTACAGTGTGCGCGTAAATCAATAAAGGTTTCGAGTGCGTATTGACAACAAATTCAGCACTGCGAGCATCGTAGCCGTGATAAAAACTGCAGCAATCGCGAGTCGGTGAGAAGATCCGAGAAAATGGTCGCTATAATGTTTGGCCTTCTTGCTGCATACAACACCTATGTGTGTGATGTAAGATATACTTCCCGAAAGTGTGGCGCATACATGAGAAGACGTGCGAGCCGTGCGAAGGCGTAATGCTGGAGATGAACTGCGTCATCGATTTTTGGATTTCGACTATGTACTGCGCAGACGCGCTGTCGCTCACAAGAGACTATTGCAATCAAATACCAGATCTTGTCGCTGTTTCGAGTAGAGACTAACTGTGCCCAAGTGCTCCGTACGAACAAAGAATTGCGAATATTACGAACAGCGTATCGGAGGGACATGTTCGCGCTGAGTCTGGCTCCCTACCCTCCAACTTCACCAGATCACTCACTAATACTATGATACCAATAATGCTCCACGCCCGTATCGCTACGCGGTTGCGCAGGAGTCTCGAATACCTCTGCTAAGTTTTGGTGTTCGAGCAGCTATCTGCCGCCCCTGGCCCGCCCAAGCCAGCGGCTAAGTTCGGCCACGTCAACCATCAGTGCCATCAATTCCAGCCTGCCACCAGTCAGAGCCCCACAAAATTTGGTGGGAAGCACAAGGCCCATACTACAAACGACCTGGCGTTGCATTTGGAGTTCCAGAACATGCCCATCTTTCGAAAAATACATTTTTGATGGTTTCCTATATATATGCTCCTTTTTGCTCCCTTTTCATCAACAAGAACAACAGCTTCACAGCAGTTGCCTTCTGGTCTTATGGGTAAGTCGTTACACGACCTGATCACCATGAGCACCATCTAACAAATACCAGTCTAGTGGTATGATTCTCGGTAAGTTCTGGCTGTTCGGATCACATATGTGACACATTCTAACTTCAACAGCTTAGGGAAAGCATCTTCGGATACTTGCAAACCCAAGCATAGCTTGCGAGAGGCCCCGCGTTCGAGTCGCGGTAAGACCCATTTTTTGCACTTGTAGCAGTCACAGTACGCCCTGCCAACACCGTATAAGTTCAAAAGGCTTAGGGAAATATCGCTCAGCCTTTTAGAAAGACGCAGCTAGGTGTATGTGCAAGAAATGTCTTTTTTTGCGTACCTAGCCATGTACTTAGGTTTACCGCACAAGGACCTCTTCTGCAAGACCTAGAGTCCGCCTAAGACACTTTCACAATCACGTCTTGAAATCTCTAAAATTGTTCCTCTGCGCGTTTCTAAAATTGTAAGAAGAAGGATTATCTTTCTAATTGCCCTGCAAGTGTGCCGTGCCTAGAGGATTCTGTAGTCCAACCTCACAATCAGGCATTTCGCAATTCAACTCTCAATCCTCACTCTTAAAGAACTCCTACTGTGTATTCTCATTGTGTTTGTTTGCTTTTCCACGCGTCTTCGTATAGTCTCTTCGTAGCGTGCAAAGTGGAACCGCGATCAGGGGTCAAAGCGCGAACCCTCCTGCTGCAAATAGAAAACCACAAAACCTTGGAAACTACAACGTCACCTCATACCCCGAAACATCAAGAACTACACCAACTCTCTGGCTCACAGCCTTCGCAATTGAAGATGCAGTGGCGATGGGATTACCCCAGCCCTAACGAATACATCGTCGGGGCGTGGGAGCCAAAGACGTCGAATCATAAGTGAGTTGCATGCATGATGAATTGGACATGGCTGACTTGGGGTAGTTTCTGTGAAGAAGTACGCAGTACGAAACAAAGAGACGTGTATCATGAAAACTGATTATGATTCAGGACTACATAATAACACCCTACATCGGCGAATTCATAAACACCCTCACAAACATAA